ATTATCTTCTGTGTCTGTGTTAATTGGTTTCCCTTTTCTTTGTTGAAGAGGGTCTGTGCAATCCTTCTGCCTAGTCCGCCATCTTGCCCCGCCTCGAGTTTAGTTTTTAAGTTGTATTTTTATTTTCATTTTAAAAGGGTAGGGAGGATTGAGGGTTGGAATGGAATTGATTGTGTGACATAGAAATTCAGTTTTTGGATGGCTCTTATTCTTTCTCACTCCAGTTATATGATACCAGACATTATTATTTGTTTGTTTGTTTAACAAGTTGTCTACAGAATGTCCTTATTATGCACCTCATAATTTGATTTGATAATGGTCCAAGTTTGTAATTAGGTAGATTATGCCAATCTATCAGACATTCTATTAAAATTTTTAACATTAAGAAGTGATTAAATATGTATGGAACAAAATTGTCTATAAAATCCATATAAATATTTCAACTTCCCTATACACTCATATATTAGAGATTATTACAGTTCATCATAAAAATATTTTTTGTGGAATAAAGGTCATTAAGCTTTTGTATATTTTATGAGGAAGGCAAAATTTTCTACCATTCAAGCTAGGAATGTAAATGTCACATAAAATCCCATGAATAAAAGAGTAAAAGTTCAAGATTAGAAGTTTAGAATTAAAATCATAAGCTCTTTGCAAATAACATGATGAGTGTGTTCAAGTGCAAGATAAGCAAGGGGGTTCATTCTAGGAAAATAAGCTTGGTTTAACATACATAAATCAATCAATATAATTCAATTATATTAACTGATGATAAGAAATATATGTAATTGTAGAAATCATACTATTATATTATTATATCATATCATCATATGACCATACTATATATTCATATCATCACATTAACATATGAAAATGAAAAAACACATATGATCATATTAATAGATGCTGACTAGACGTTGAAAAAAAATTCAATGCATATTCATGATTAAAAAAAACTAGGAATAGGATATTTCTTTAACCTAACAAAGGCTACATATAAAAAACTTCAAGCTAGTAGACTTACTGAACACTATCATTCTAAGTTTGGAAACAAGTCAAAGAAGTTCTCTCTGGTCACTTCAATTTAACATCATACCAAAAGTACTAGCTAATATAATAAGACTAGGAGAAAAATCTATACAGATTGAACAGGGGGAAAAAAAAAGATCTATATTTATTCACAGATGCCATCACTGTCTTTGTAGAAAATCTTAAAGTTTCTAAAAACAAAATGTAATAAAACAAAGGAGAAAACCTAAAACAAAACAAAAAACATTCCTGAATCTAGTAAAGTAGTATAGAAGGTTGCAGAAAATAAGGCCAATATCCAAAAGTCAATTGATTTCCTATGTACCAGCAATGTACATTGGAATCTTGAAAATTAAAAAGTAACAACAAAATAAACACCATTTTCAATAGTACCTCTCCCTAAAGGAAATGAATCACTTAGGTATAAAAATATATACAAAAAATATATACAATTAGGTATACATTTGATACATATACGTGTGTGTATGCATATATGTATATATATGTGTGTGTGTATATATATACATATATATGCTTTATATGTGGAAAGTACAAAACTTTGATGAAGGAAATCAAAGATCTAAGTAAATGGTGAGAGAGAGAGTCCATTATCTTGGACAGGAAGACTCAATGTTGTTAAGATGTCAGTTTTATTATTATTATTTTTAATCTTAACTTGATATACAGATTCAAAGTAATACTACTCAAAAAAACATTTGGTGTGTGTGTGTGTGTGTGAGCATGGTAAAATTGATTCTAAAGTTTGTATTAAAAGACAAACCATAGAGAAATCAACAAAATTCTCAAAAGAGAAAAACAAAGTTATAGAACTCATATTATCTAACTTCAGGGTTATTTACAATCAAGAAAGGATGACTGTTGTTGTTAGATGACATCAAGTGAATTTTTGACACATAAATACCCCATATGCAGACACATTTATCATTAGAACATATAAAGGATCCCTAAGTTCCTACACAGATTTAGTGAACTGATTTTGGAAAAAGGTGCCAAAAGTATTAAGTGGAGATAGCATAGTCCTCTTAAAAAAGTGATTCTGGAACAATTGGGTATCCATATGACAGGAAAAAAGAAACAAAAAAAAGACCAGGTATAGACTTTACTGGTTTCCATCAAGTGGATTCCTGCTGATAGTGACTATAGGATAGAGTAGAACTGTCCCATAGGGCTTCCAAAGATGTAACTTTATGGAAATTGACTGGCACATCTTTCTCCTGAGAAGCAGCTCTTGGGTTTGCACTGCTGAAACTTAGGTTAGCAGCCAAGCACTTAACTACTGAGTCACCAGGGTACCTTGATGTAGACCTTACACCTTACATAAAAGTTCACTCAAGATAGGTTACAGACCTAATGTAAATGCAAAACTACAAAACATCTGGAAGACAACATAGGAGAAAATCCATGTAACCTTGTGTTTGATGATTACATAATATATGAGAGCAAAATAATCACAGTTAGAATTTATTAAACTTTAAAAAGTTTTTCTCTGTGAAAAACACTGTTAAGAGGATAAAAACATGCCATAACCTTGGAGAAAACATGTGCAAATCACACATCTGATAAAGTGTTTGTATCCAGATTATAAAAAGAAATCTTAAACTCATCAATAAAGAAACAAAAATCACAATTAAAAAATGGGCAAAAGATCAGAACAGACATCTCACCAGAGAAGATATACAGATAGTATAGACTCATATTAGAAGATACTTAATGGCATTTGTCACTGAAGAAAATGAAATTTAAATCAACATTGAAATACTGCTACACATCTATTACAATGCTTAAATCCCCAAAATAATCCATGTCAATTGTTAGCAAATGTGCAGAGCAATAAGAACTCTCATTGCTGGTTGAGAAACCATAAGGTCCTCATTGATTAATTTTCAGTATTCGATTGGCTGGCCTTTCTTCTGAGGCACCTTGGATGGATTCGAACTACCAACATTAGCAGTAGATCACATTAACCAGGTGTACCATCCAAGTGTTAAATACAGTATTTATCACACAGTACTGTGTTTGCTACTTGTTGGTTTTGCCTAGCATACTGGAGAATTTTTGAGGATGAACACAATGCATTACTTGTCTTTGTACTATTGTTGTTGTTGTTGTTATGTGCCACTGAGTCGGACCCGACTCATAGTGACCCCTCCTTGGGTTTCCATGGTAGTATTACTACAGAAGTAGATTGCCCAACCTCTCTTCTGAGGAGTGGCTAGTGGTTTTGAACCCCCAGCCTTCTAGTTAGCAGTTAAGTGCCTTAGGCATTATTCAGTAAAGTCTGCCATGTTACAGGCACTCAGTGAAGTATAACCACCTCTTGTGAACATTGTAAGCATCATATAGCACATTAATTAATCTTTGTAGGTCCTTCATCAGTTCTTGGACCATGGTGTGAGAACTTATATTTAGGTGATCTGCATAAAATTTCTCCTAAAAATAATGAGAAGATGAAGCCTTTGAGTTTGAGCCCTAAAACAGGCTCTACATGTTGTTGACTTTCTGAAAACACATTTACTTGAAAATGAATCCCAAGGTAAGAGGTGATAATATCATTAAACCAAGAATAATCTGAACCAGTATTTTGTTATATTGGCCTGTATATTGGTTTCAATTTATCTGCTAAATTTTATAATTAAAAAAAAAACTTTTTGTCATCTCATTGATTCCAACTCATAGTGACCCTATTGGACCCATGCCATAGGGTTCCCAAGGTTGTAAATCATTATGGAAGCAGTCTGTCACATCTTTCTCCCATGGAGTGGCTGATGGGTTTGAATAGCCAAACTTTGGGTTATCACCCAAGCACTTAACCACTGTATAACAGGGCATCTCAAGATGTGGCCAGTTTTGCAATAAAAGGGGGCATTAAGGAACCATTGTATTTATAATGAAATGTTTCTGGTGTTTTATTAGATTACCAAAATGTAATTATTTAAACAGTTTACTGATGGAATAGTAATCAACTTTAGTCAATAATCTCCATAGTACAGGCATAGATCACTTTAATAACACATATATACACACACACATACATATATAACTGACTCATATATTTAAAATAGACAGAAAATGGTTAAACCTACAGTTATTGCAATTATATGATGCCTCAGCCATTAGTATGAAATTAGGTTTTAATATTCATATTAAACTATTCTTAGTACTTGCCTGAATTGAGTGAATGAAGTTCATTTTTGTTTCTTATGTATTTATTTATGTCTGTGGCTGTTTTTAGATCTATTGGTCTCACTTTTATTAGAAATACTGGCTAGTATCAGCAATTAAATTATTTCTTATAATTGAACTATAATGAACAACTGCCTCTTGTACTAGAGTGTATTCTTAATTTAGCAAATATAAAATATAAATTAGTAGCATCCTTTGTTTCTTAGATTTCTTCCTGGATTTTCTGGTCAATTTTGTGAAGTTAATATAAATGAATGTTCTTCATCACCATGCCTACACAGTGGAAATTGTGAAGATCAAATCAATGGATATATTTGCAAATGTCAACAAGGTAAATATTGATATAAATTAATCAAACATACTATATAAATGCACTATATATATGTTATATTAAATATAATTAATATTTATGAGAATCCACCCCACCAATCAATTGTTGGCTATCAATCAAGTTCTAAGCAATTATTACTCTTAAAAATATTAAATTGATATTTTCTGATACCAGCTGCTTAGCCATCAGCAGCAAGTCCCAGGATTTGAACTATTTTTATATTTCACTACATGAATTTTAAAAATTTCTGTAAAGCTCAGATTCTTGATCTGTATCTATATCAGTGAGGACTAGCAAAAGATACAATCTTTATAAAGGTTAACTTTTATTAATATTGGCATTGTTATTACTTCTAACAATAGTCTGTGTGGCGCCAGTCAAGATGATTAAACTGATAGTGTTCAAGAATAATTGGTTATTACTAATCAGCCTTTTTGTTGTTGTTGTTATGTGCCGTCGAGTCGGTCCCGACTCATAGCGACCCCTCCTTGGGTTTCCGAGGCAGTATCACTACGGAAGTAGGATTGCCCAACCTTCCTTCCGAGGAGTGGCTGGTGGGTTTGAACCGCCAGCCGTCTGGTTAGCGGGCAAGTGTCTTAGCCACTATGCTACCAGAGCTCCTCGACGGCACATAACAACAACAACAACAACAATCAGCCTTTTTAGACATTTCTGCCTTTAGCCATATTCTCTTTAGCTTTTTACTGACCTAAACAAGTTGCTTCCAAGTTGCACCCTGCCTCTAGTTCTCTAATTTTTCAGATTTATTGCTTTATTACTACGTCTTCTCTCGCTCATCTTAAGCATTCAGTTGCATCCACCTGAAAGAGCTGTGGAATGCCTAATTTCCTTGAGCATCCATATCATCTCAAAAACCTGTGGACATTTCTGTTCAATCAAAAAGACCCCATCTATTTACATACTTCACAAAAGACTTCAGACAACTTGTGGATAGTTCAGTGTTCTGGCTTCTGGTTATTGGCCTCATGATGGAATAATAGCCAGGCAGACGTGTAGCACTGGGTGGGTCAGCTGCGAAGGAACTCTTTCAAGTGCTGATGAGCAAGGATGTCTCCTTGAGGACTAAGGTGTGCCTGACATGCTGTTGTTGTTGTAATGTGCCGTGGAGTCAGTCCGACTCATAGCGACCCCTCCTTGGGTTTCCAAGGCAGTGTCACTGCGGAAGTAGATTGCCCAACCTTCCTTCCGAGGAGTGTCTGGTGGGTTTGAACCGCCAGCCTTCTGGTTAGCAGTCAAGTGCCTTAGCCACTACGCTACTAGAGCTCCCAATCCTAGAAAATAGTTAAGAATAATAATTTAAAAAACATAAATAAATCAGATTTATTTATGATGTTATTACATACTTTATTATTGCTAGTTTAGTTTTATTTTTCATGTTAATATAAACCTTATCATTGTTATTATTCCAGGTTAAGATTCCACTTATTCTACATTCTCTAGAAAATGTGGAGAAATTTTGATGTAGTCCCAGTGTGCAAATGAAGCTCCCTGTTGTATGCTGTTCTCAGGTTCATAGTGAGAAGGAGCAGGCGGACAAAGATACTCACTTATGCTGTCAGGTGTTACATGGAATTTGTTAGTAATTTTGACTTAAGGCTTAAATTATTTGCAGCACAGTCACAGGAACAAAAAACAACTAACCAACCAAATAAAATCTTGAAAAATAGTGTGGATGCCTCTCCATATCTGGGCCCCTGAACCTGCTAATTATTTCTAGCCATGATTCTTATGGCCTTTCAGCATGCCAATTTGTCCTTTTTACAATAATTTAAGTAATAATCTTGCTTCAAGAGATTACCCATCATATCTTCCCTGTTTTCACTAATGACATTGTTGGTTTATTTGTTTCCCAAGTCCCTCACAACATGGTAACACGTACTCTTCTGGTGTTTTGATAAATGCATAGAGTTGTATAACAACTGCCACAGCCTGTCATGTAAGTGATGCCCCCAAATTTCGCTTGTGCTGCTTCGTTTTAGTCAAGCTTTTCCCTTGCCCCAACATGAATTTATTTTTATAGAGTTATATTTCTTTTTTAACCACTTTTGTCTTTGACAAATTCACCTGTTGTTGAGTTTTCCTTCCCCTTGTACTATGCATTTAGATTTTGAAGGCCAACTCTAGGAGGATTTTGGCATATATGTGTTTAGGAAATAATAATTTTAGTAACAGTAATCCTATTCCATAGACACTGTGCTGTTTTGTTGTGCACTAATGCAATTTCATAAATTTTTTTTTTTTAAGAAGCTACTGTTTTTATCCCATTTTATCAATAAGGAAATGGAGTCCCAGGCCATTGTTTATCCTCCTCATCGGAGATTAGTGCAGAAGGGATTCACATCCGAGGAGTCAGGCCTGGCACTTGTATTCTCTTTTGTGCCCCAAAGAAAATCCCTTTGCCAGAATCATCAAAGAGGGAAAGTGTAGGCTGTATATTAGCAATTTTCACCATTCAGAATTCTCCATGAAGGTTTTCAACCCACATATGCCTGATTTTCTCCTGAGAAACTTCAAAGAGCAAACACTTAAGAGAGGTTCATAGCAATTTGCCAAATGCTGTACAAAAAGATACGGTGGCTGATACATTTGTTTTATACAGTTTTATTCTCTTTCTCATCCCTTGAGGAAAACATCCTTAAATAATGTTGACAATTATTTCTTAAACTCTAGACTAAATTGTGCCTTGATCTTTATCTTAAATAGTTTCAGATGGAAACGTAAATTGACTAGTTTATTAGTTTCTTAGTGTTTCTGTAACGAAGTACCACAAATTGGATGGCTTATAAAAAACAGAAATTTATTGTCTCACAATCCTGGAGACTTGTGGGCGGTAAGGCTGTATGTGAACTTGGCTGGGTGCTGATTTTGAGCAGCAGAGCATCTGGATGGACTTACTCTCTGTGATGAGATTGTAATCACCTCCGTGGTGGAATCTGCTGTGAGCAGCTACATAGTTGCCTTCAGGGAGGGGTCAGCTTTCAATATATAAGGAGAAATTTTGAGACAAGTCTCTAGCTTTTTGGTTCATTTGGATCCTGTGGCCAAGTCTTTATCTCCAGTTCCTGGACTTGAACCAGTGGCCTGCTTGGGTTCATTAGCCTCAGCAGCCAGCAGCTGCATGAATTACAAAAAGCCTACAGCTCCAGTGGGCCAGGAATATGAGGCAGAGCTGTAGCCCAAGGTCAGAGGGCCTTCACTAGGCCCCTAGAGCTAGCACTCTGAATTTGGACTTCAATCCTCCTATTATAAAACAATAAATTCCTATTTGTTAAAGTCATCCACTTGTATTTCTGTTACAGCTGCATAGAGAACTAAGACAAGATTCAGTCTAAATTCAAGGTTTTGGCAAGGCTATGATCTTTCTCTCCAAGGCTCTAGGAGAAGATACCTCCTTGTCTTCTGGTAGTCTCAGGCAGTCCTTGGCTTGCAGTTGCAGCATATCTCTTTTTATATGGCATCTTCCCTCCTTGTCTCTCTGCGTCTATTCTCTTTTATAGGACACTATTTTGGTTACCTAGTGCCACTCCAACAGAAATACCACTGATGGATAGATGGTTTAAACAAACAGATTTTTGCACTTATAGTTTAGGAGGCTAGAAGTCTGAGTTCAAAGTGCCAGTTCTAGGGGCTGGGTGAAAGCCTTTCTACCTTGGGCTTCATTTCTGCCTCTTGCTCTTGGCCTATTGAAGCTGGAGGCTGCTTCTTCTTCTTTTTATAATTTTTATTTTTATTGGGATTTGGGTGAAAGTTTACAGAGTAAATTCATTTTCCATGTAGTAGTTCATACACATTTTTTTCATGATACTGACTACAATTCCCTACAATGTAACAGCTCTCTTTCCACTTCCTCACTGTGTTACCTCTTGCCTGTGTCATTCCCTCCCATGCACTCCCACTCCCAGAGCTATCTCCTTGTATAAACACTGCCTTTCTGTTCTCCCAGGATTGATTGCTCCAAAGAGTATATCTGCCTGATGTCAATGTTCACCCCATATGTAGAGGTTTCCCTTAACTCAGGCAGCTGTCAGCTGCTGAGGCTAACAAACCCAAGGTCAGCAAATAAAGTGGCACAGTCTCAAGATTACCAAACAACATGGCAGGTCACTAGGTCAAGTCTAGAGACAGTCACAAGATTGGCAGGAAACATGGCAGTCTGCTAAAGGAAGACTCGGCTGCATGCATGGTCCAAGCATGCCAAAAAGCTCCAGACACTTTCTCAATGCTCTTCGTATGTACTAGAAGCAGACCACATCCCCAAAGCAGCTACTCAGCTGCTCCAGTAGATTCCACCATGGAGTTCTTTAACAGACTCCTTATGAGGAATAACTACATCCAGCTGCCCAGCAACTCAAAAACAGGCCCAGCAAAGTTGACACACAACTTAACTACCACAAACCAATGAAATTAGATTGGGATCCACTCTATTTTTGTATGACCTCATGGTAATTAAACTAATAACATTTTAAAGATCTTATTTCCAAACAAGAGTACATTCACAAGTACCAGGGCTGGACTTTAATACAAATTTTGGGCACACAATTCAATTCCTGACTTTACATTGACTGAACATGGCAGATCATTGACGTTTTCTATTTCCATCAGTTGAAAATCTTCTTTAAGCGTACATCATGCTGTCAATGATTAGAACTATTTTATCTTCATCTAAAAAATACTATTTTAACCCTGATGTCTTCTCCATGGTACCATAATATTTGTGTTTTCTTCTTCTTCTTCTTTTTTTTAAATCCCTTCCCTTTTTCTTTTTAGTACAAGCAGAACTGCATGACTCTTGCAACATTCTGAACAGAGCACAGTTTGAAAAATTAAATACCTAGTTCCTCTACCAAACATATTAACAAAATGCAAGTGTAATTTAAACTGGATATAAGTATACTAGAAAACACTCAAAATATTATTTATTTTTTTGCTACCAAATCCTAGCAGATAACTCAGTCCTCACTGAGTGTTCAGCACATATTGAAAACTACAATCCAATTGTGATGCTGGCCACTGTTTTGTTGTCACTGACAGAGCTACCATCAGTATAAACAAAACCTTCATGTAAAGGCCCTTCTGTAAGCAGGTGAATCGTGTATCTCTGCCCCTTCCTCCAGGCAGGCAAGATGCAAGGCTTGGCAAGTGGCACATGTGGGATTTTATCCTCTCATCCTGAGGACCTTGTGCAAGGTAGAACTTGAACAGCATTCAGGACAGTCTTGATCATGAATTTCATTTTGTACATATGTAGTCAACTAAGGAATTTGCTGAGCTTATTTGCATGCAATATCCAAAGATATATTCCTATTTTTCCAAAAACACCAGCACATTTACTTTTGTTTTAGCCTACTTTCTCCTTTTATACTATGATATGAAATGTTTAACACCCAGTGTATGAAACCACAGCTATCTTCTTGTAAGCAAATTGAAAGTGAAGAACAATCTGTATTCCAATGTGAATGTTGCACTAAGATTTGTTCTCAGTTCCTGGGACCATCATTCTCCCCAGAGATTTTTATAACCAGAAGGGGTGCAATAGTGTTTATATGGGTGATAATATAAACTGAAGATACAGATTTGCTGTTAAAACAGCATTTATCATTTTGAAGCAGAAATGCTGCATTGTCCTTGGGGCAAGGAAACAGAATAACACAGATAATATCTACCACAGTGCTCACAATTACTAAATCAGGAATGGAACTATTGTACTTAGGACAGAAGAGACACAAAATGATCTTTCTTTTAAATCAAGACCCATAAAAAGTAAAATAATACTTGAAATCAAATATAAAAGAATCTATACTGTAATCTTTTGGTGAAGATTTAGATGTAAAAATCAATACTTGCACATATCCTAGAGTTAGACTAAGAAAATGATTTCAACTTATACTATCCAATTACTAGATGATATATTAGCTACTAAGAATTATTTCAGGTTAAGGATTAATTTTACTTTCTTTTTCTCAGGGAGATGCAAATCATATGTAGTTGAGAGGGAAAATTAAAAGAAAGTAAGGTATATAAATCTTTGAAATAGTAACTTGTTTTCATTAAGAAATTGATATTATTAAAATTGCTATGTTATAACATAGAATGCTAGTATTAACACTGGCCAGTATCAAGATTTTGCTTTGTTCATTGTTTGGAAAATTACTTCCATTTCATCTTATTTTCATTACCATGTGCCATCTAAAGACTTCTTATATATATTACATCCACATCATTTGGCATCATTTATTCCGTAGGCATTTATTTTTTTTCTATTATGTGACAAATAATATACTAGTAATATTAATTTAGTGCTATAATGATTTGATCATGCTTTCTGAATTACTAATGAGAACTTTTGATTTCTTGCTTTAAATTATCAATCAATATTTTCTGAATATCTTGTTATTTCATTAAATGGATATAAAAACTACATTGGAGCCAAAGAATAATATATTTTGCATTATTTCTACTGATGGATTTTTGTTTGTTTGTTTCCCATCTCACTCACTCACCCTCTGAATTTCCATTATGCTGCCTTATATCTCATGTTCTCATTTTTTTTTTTTAATCATCTCCTTGACAACACCAGCACAAGACATTTATCTTATGAATTTATTTATGACGGATATTATTGGCACTCATCATCCATTCTCATCTATGGTTACAGTACTATAGAAGCAAGAAAATTTAAAACCATACTTTTGATTCTCTCTTGAGTATGCGATTGTGAATATGTGGTGGACTCCCCTCATAATATAAACATGCATGGCATATGGAAGATCTGGCTGATGCCATTTCTGGTTGTCTAAGTAGTTTCATCTGCTAAAGAAGATTATGGCGATACTGCATTTTCTACAGCAGGCTTTCACTCTCTAGTCACTGGCTTCATGTGTATTAAAATGCAGAACCAGCAAGAGTAGCAAACAGGCTCTGCAATCCAGGGTTCAGCCACAACTGTCAATGATTTGAGAAGAGATAGCTGCTGCAACTGTGGTAGCATCTACCTAAGTCCTGGATAATGGGTTCTTGGTCTCAATAATCCTAATGATGACTTTTATGTTTTTCAACTTTTTGATCATGGCTGAGGGATCTTCTCCCAGTCATATCTGTAGTTCTTGGAGTTATGTCTATAGTACCTTCCTCAACAGTTTTTAACTAATTTCCTGTTAGTAAGGCCATTTGTTGCTTAACTGCCTGGAGTAATTTCTATTTCCTTTCTGGCACACATACAAATTTATTGGTTTACTGTTTTCCATCTTATGATTTAAAGCTTTGTAATGTTCTTCATAGTGTTATAGCAAGTGGAAAATTACATTATTGTTTTAATTATATAAAATATATTATGAAACATTTCATTCAATCCAAAGAATATAAGTTGTATTTTTATTATATAAGGAATAATTTGAGAGCTCTGGTAGTGTAGTGCCTAAGGCACTTCACTGATAGCCAGAAGACTGGCTGTTTAAACCCACCAGCCACTCCTCCAAAGGAAGGTTGGGAAATCTGCTTCTGTAGTGATACTGCCTTGGAAACCCAAGGAGGGCTCCCTATGAGTCGGGTCCGACTCGACGGCACATGAAAACAACAATGAATAATATAATGAACATTTGTATATCCATCATTTATTTCTAGAAATAGAATAATTCTAGTCTCCTCTATATCCTTCCTGAGTATTTTAGTGTTTCTTACCCTGTGAAAGCTATTCTAAATTTTCTCTTCAATATTTCCTTGGTGATCCTTAGAGTTTTATTATATATGCTTATCTAAATAATGTTATTAAGTACTGTTTGTGCTTGATTTGTATAAGGATAGCTATCAGAATACAAATATTGTATTTAATATGCTTTTATGCTCAACAATAAGTTCATGAGAATCAAATATGAGAATACTGATGTTATTGTTGTTATGTGCCATCGAGTCAGCCCCAACTCATAGCGACTCCTCCTTGGGTTTCTTAGGCAGTATCACTATGGAAGTAGATTGCCTCATCTTTCTTCCGAGGAGGGGCTGGTGGGTTCGAACCACTAGCCTTCTGGTTAGCAGTCAACTGCCTTAGCCACTACGCTACCAGAGCTCCCATGTGAATACTGACAGTAGTACCTTTTTATAAGCCCTTCAAAAAAACATTATTTTCTGTATCATCACCTTTTATAGGCTCCATAGTAGATACCCCTTCAGAATCAGCTCAGCAAATGAAAGAGCATTGTAAAGCAGAGAGAAGCATGGACAACTAGTTGGTAAAAATAACCTGTTTATGAATACTCTGCCGAGTCTTTTAAATTTCATGGGGCTCATCTTTTTCTCCTTATAACTCAATGTTACATTAAATAATTTCTAAGCTTCTCAAAATGCATAAATTTTCTTTTGTAATTTATTAGGGAAGAGAAATGAGCAATACAGTGATAGGTCGGGACCAGAAGACTGTCTTTCTTCAAACCAGAGTTTAGATAAAATTCTGTTGAATCATACATAGAAAAAACAAAGAATGGTTAAAAAGCTGCAATAATACTAGGTATTGTTAATCAGTGAATGGGGACAACTGACTCTAAATACTTATTGTCCCTATAGATAATGGTATATTTTTATTAATGCGATGTTGCAGTTGACATGCTCTTAAATATGTTTAAATCCATTATAAGTAGTTGTTTATGGAATAGAATCAATGATTTACAAAAATGTTCCCAAATATATACATACATATGACAAATCATAGCTGAGATATTAATTTGTAGAGAGCTAACAATTTTGGCAGTAGGTTGGTGATGAAAATGAAGACATGCTGATAAGATACAAACAAAACACATGAAACACACACACATAAACAATGTTATGCTGTGGAAAATTAGATCATAATGTTTAAGGAGAATTCTTATAATCAATGGTCAGCAAACATAAACATAGTATGTTATATGATATAGAACTACAACCTAAGAAATATTAATTATAAAGTACTACAAATATTACAAGAAAAACATGGATATCTACAAATCTATAGAGGTTGCTTTCCTTCTAATTTAAGATTGTTATTTCATTTCAATTATGAGTATATTTATTCCATTGTGCTCAATGTGTGTATTCCAAGATAAAATGTGGAAAGATATTTGCATGTGCAATGTAGAATGTCACTGTGGGTAAAAACCTAAACTTTCTTTTTACCTTACCAGATTTCATTTTCACTTAGCTGTGTGATATTAGAGAACATTATTTTTCTTTTCTGAATTTAATTTTCTTATCTGTTAAATACAGATAGTAATAGTTGCTACCTGATAGATAACTTATGAAGAGAAACTGATGTAATTTATATAAAACATTTAGCACAATTATAGTAAATAATCAGAGCCAAAAAATTAAGCTATTATTACTATTATTATGATCATTGTTCTCTTTTTATTACACAATAGAACAGCAACTTTATGATTTTGTTTAACAGGATGGTCAGGACTTCACTGTGAGGGAAAACTTGAGTGCCTTCCCAACTCATGTACTCATGGAATATACTTAGAAAAGGAACCTAGCTTTGGCTCAATCTGTTTATGTGTACCAAGATTGAAGGTAAAGATTGACGTTTGTGATTTATTTATTTTTTTCATTTTTAAAGAATACTTGATAATAATATGTCTATACACACACATATATTTAGTAATTAGTAAGGTCAATGAAGTTAATTTTCAGTCCTCCTCTCTTTCTCTGTCTTTACTACACTTTTGTTAGCGTTCTCCTTCCCTTTCTTGCCTGTATCTCACATGCAAATTTACCTACTCGTTTCATGGAGAATAATTCATATACATTGATCCAGACTCAGATGCAGGTGACTTAATGTATTGTCTTTTAATGTCTTAATGAATTTGGAAAGATGTTGCAGTGGAAGAATTACTTTATGTTGTGAGGGTCTGTCAGAACCTGTATCCAGTCCAAGGACATTGCATTACTTTTAGGGTTGAGCTCAGAGAACCATGTGTCCAAGGAGAATGAAACACCTTCCATAACAAATTTAAGCTGGTCTGAACTCCAGTAACATTAAAAGTAACTTCCTCTTGGTAGAAAGGTCTCTTTTAAAAGATAGCTTTTCACCATAATCCTTTAATAAACCTGACCACAACATATGAATATAGTAAGGGAATAGCAATTGGCAAGACTGGTCTGTCGTGAAATTTAAATGTATACTTATAAATATTATTGGTAGGTGGACAAGTCTTAATGTAGACTGAGACTAAATGATTGCAGAGAGGATACAGTCAGATGACACAGTGGAAAATAAAGGAACCAGACATCAGGGGAAGGTGAGGTCTGACCAGTGCCTAGGAAGCATGATCAAGTATGAATGGAGCTGGAGATACCTCAGAACTGGAAGATCAGAAAAGAAAAATTAGAAGCAGAAATCTCAGGATGTTGTTAAGGAATTGAGCAGAAAATTTATCAATAAACTGTCTTCAAAAAAAAGGAGTTGAAAAAGCAGTTGTCAAAAATCCTAGGGGAAAATTGCTTGCCCTTCTATTTATAAGAGCTATCAAAGGTCTCCCAGGTAGCTCCTCCAGTGAGAGCCCCTCCCCTCCCGGGCCTTTCACAGGGCTCATCCGTCTGAGAGAGATATGGATGAGCTAAAATAGGACTGTCATTGCACATTACTTGTGGATCTTCCAGTCCCAGATCTTCCCTTGGTGATCTCAGAAGAGGAATTTCAGGCGTTCTGACACCTGAGCATAGGAGGTAGTTGGTGCTGAGGAGTTACCTTAACGTGCCTTCAGATTACACCAGTAATGACTTCTTCAAAGTGCAAGTAGAAAGAGAAGAAGATTTAGAAATATCCTTTATTTAGTTATATTCTCCACCCAGGCAGCCTGATAGATGGAAAAATGTGCTCACTTAAGGAGCCCTGGAAACTGTACGTAGACCAGGAGACTGTCATTAGGACTGAACAGGGGATTCTATATGGTTTAAAATCAGGAAGGGAGTGTTTCAGGGTTGTACCCTTTTACCATATATATTCAATATTTATACTGAGCAAATAATCCATGAACTGGATTATATGAAGAAGAACGTGGTATCAAGATTGGAGGAAGGCTTATTAACAACCTGAGATACAAGGATGACACAACTTTGCTTGCTAAAAGTAAGGATGACTTGAAGTACTTACTGATGAAGATTGAAGACTAGAGTCTGCAGTATGGATTACATCTCATTAGATAAAAAAAAAAAAATCCTCACAACTGTACCATAACCAGCATCATGATAAACCAAAAACCAAACTCACTTTCGTTGAGTTGATTCAACTGATAGCAACGTCTCCTTGGGTTTCCAAGGCAGTATATCTCTACAGAAGGATAATGGAGGAAAGATTGAAGTTGGTAAAGACTTCATATTACTTTGTTCTACAATCAAAGCCAATGGAAGCAGCAGTCAAGACATCAAAAGATGTATTGCATTGGGCAAATCTGTTGCAAAAGACCTCTTTTAAATGCTGAAGGGCAAAGATATCTCCTTGAAGACTAAGATGGACCTAACCAAAGCCATGGATATTTTCAATCACCTCATATGTCAGTGAGAGCTCGTCAATGAATAAGGAAGACTGAAGAAGGATTGATGCTTTTCAGTTGTGGTGCTGGTGAAGAATGCTGAAAGTACTGTGGACTGCTAAAAGAACTAACAAATCTGTCTTGGAGGAAGTGCAGCTGGAATGCTCCTTGGAAGCGAAAATGGTCAGACTTTGTCTTACCTACTTTGGTCACATTGTCAGACATGTTGTGCTTGGTAAAGTGAAGGGTCAAGAATAGAGGGGAAGGCCCTCAACAACACGATTGGCATGGTGGCTGCAATGATGGGCTCAGGTATAGTAGGGATCATGAAGCTGGCACGGGACTGGACAGTATTTCATTCTGTTGTGCATGAGGTAGCTACGAGTCAGCTAGATGGCACAAGACAACAACAACAACAATAACAACAACAACAAAAGGAGCCCTGGTGGTACAGTGGTTAAGTGCTTGGCTAATAACTAAAAGGTCTGTGGTTTGAACCCACCAACAAAGATGTGGCAGTCTGCTTCTATAAAGATTTACAGCTTGGAAACCCTGTGGGGCAATTCTACTGTTTCGTACGTGGTTGTTATGAATCACTAAGGACTAGAGGGCTATGAGTCAGACTCAACTCAAGGGCAATGAATTTTGTTTTTGATTTGAGGAAGTCATTAAATAATTGAGAAAATAAATGTTCATTTTGCAGATGTTTTTATTAAACGCAAAGAATTCACTATCAAATATCCCTAAACTTCTTTTTAAATAGTTAATTTCTTGTCTTTTCCTGTGCATTTGAAATGTGAATCAAAGGTTGTATTCTTTTATTTAAAAAAAACAAAAACATCAAATCTGGAAATTAATACACAAGTATATGTTGAAAATGTAAGGAACTATTTTTTAAATAATTGATATTGTTTAATAAAATCACAAGTCTACTAAATTTCAAAAAAAAAAACCAAAAAACTCACTGGAGTCAAGTCAATTCAACTCATAGCAACCCCTACTTGGGTTTCTGAGGTGGTATCACTACAGAAGTAGATTGCCCAACCTTCCTTCTTAGGAGTGGCTGGTGGTTTTGAACCACCAGCCTTCTGGTTAGCAGTCACATGCCTTAGGTACTTCACCACCAGAGTTCCCACTAAATATAAGGAATACTATAAATGTAATATATCTATATTTTAGTAAGATATTTACTAAGTTAACTTCTACTAATTTAATGATCAATCTCTCAAGTCCTGAAAAACTAAAATAAAACTTAAAAACTTAATATAATAAGGGATAAGGTTTAGATAAAAACCTACAAAAAGAAAAGAAGAATATAACTTTTGTTAATGCACTACTTATGTTCTAAAAATGTAAAGATAAAGAAAATGTGAGTTATTTAAAAAAGAATTTAAACTTTAATGGCATACTTATCAATGTTACAGTAGCATGTGGGCATTTTAACTAGATATGTCTAGAGACATTCCTTTAAATATAGCAATTAAATTATTAATTAGAATAAAAAATATTTTGCTGATATTCAAATGCTTTTTTCTGAATTATAGAAATATTAGAATCAAATTAGATTTACTGAAATAAAATTATGGAATATCTTTTGAAAATAGGTATGAGAAATGGGTAAGAGTCATGAAAACATGTTTTGTGGATTCCATTTCTTCTTCATCGACCTTATACCCAAAGAAAATGAAATTAAAAAAAAAAATCACAATCATGGTGAAATGTCAGAATTCATTGACATTATAAGTTCTTTATAAAGAATGTCATTCCTAGAAAAACACAGAAGCTGAAAGAGTCTTAAAAAGAAAAGCCATTGGGGTTAGCAAACAAAGATATTGATTCTGATTAGGGCTAAAGATTTTAAATGTGCATGTTGAGTTCATGTGAACGTAAAAACAGTGTGGCTAACCTCAGAAAGGTTGAGCCACACTGCCAAGTTTATTATAAATTAAGTTAGTGGATGCTGATGTTTGACATTCTAGCACCAGAATGTATAGGAAGAAACAAACCATTGCTTAAATTATCACACTCTAATTCAATGATTTCCTTAAATCTCTGGCCATCCTGAGAGACAAGGATAATGCTGGTCATTGTAGGATTCCTAAGCCTTAAACACAATGCATTTGTGTTGCATTTGGTCGTCATTGTTGTGATTGTTTTAAGGACAAAAGGAGATCATCTTAAATGTTTTAATTAAGGAAGTATACATAAATTGTATATTAATCATTATATATTATTAGTTTTAACACGTATTATAAATTTTATATTGCTATATTTAATAAGGAAAACAGAATTTTTTTTCTTTTTAATCATGTAATTTAATGTGTGTTTTAAAACCTGATTTCTTTATTCTAGTTGGATGTCTTAGATATCTAGTCTGGATTGATTACTGGTGGTCCTCATGGAATTGTTTATAAGACTCTAATTTGACTGGTAGTCAGATTCTCCACTAATATTTATAATATAATGATTACAAATTTTCTTTGCACATATACTCTAATTATACAGTTGATACAGCACCACATACAATCTATGTTAAAATGTATTAAAATATTTCAAGCAATTAGAAATATGCTAGCATTGGGTTTCTGTTTATAACTTGAAACAACAATACTTAATACAAACCATTAAGTCCTACACCTAAATAATTTGTAGTAATTCTCTCCATTAAGTCTATTTATGGCACCCTAAATTTATCTCCTAAACTACAGAGAGATGCCACATTCCTTCCATATTTCTTTTTATTTAAGCTGTTTTAAAGGCTTTTACTAATTAGATTGTCATATAAAAGTGTTAATTCAGCTGCATGTTTATGAGATTAGAGAAGATTGATATTACTACCATTATACTTTGCTTGATAATGAAAAGTAACATGGAAAGTGAACATCCCCTACTGGTAGGGGAAAGAACACTGTTTTTAAAATATATATATTTCTGAGAATTAATTTTTTGTACATAATATTAAAGACCTGAACTCTTAGGTTTTCCTTAATGTTTAGAGCTGTGACACACTCTCACAAGATGATAATTAGCTTGGATTAT